ACCAGAACCTACAGCAAGACAATGGTGCCCTCTGCTGTAGCACCTGTTCCTCTCCATGTATACAGTCCTTCCACTTCCTTTCAAATGTCTGCAAACCAATCATCACCAGTAGCAGCCAACACTTTGCCAGTGAAAAAAACTTCCCTTCTCTTAGGCTCTGAAATTGTGCTTGGCTGCACAGGTCATGAGCCATACCGTTGCAGCAGGCCTCAACTCTCTAGTGGCCACAGGTAAGCACTATATGCTTCTTTTATGAATGAAGTGGCTAATAATGAGGACTAGTTTTCAAAGTTATTGCCCCAGAACCCGGTTGTGATCAAACAAACGTCATTATCATCATCTAATACTTCTGAAACTGCATATCAGTATACAAGCTGTGTAGAATATGTCACAAATACTGTTTTTAGGATAAATAAGAAATATTTGAAAAGCAGACCACACTATTAGTAATATGATTAAGGTGAATAAGATGGCAAAACCTTTAATATGATGAATAATGTAATGAAATCTACAAGTTTTGTATAGCTTTAGTCCCTTGTAAAGTAATATGTGTTATTTTCCAATGTAAAGAAACTGTATTTCACCACATAAGGAGGCACCCTAACATCGGTTCCCCCACCCACCCCCCAATTCATGTGGGTGCTACAGTGAATACCTGGCAACAGCTGCATTTGTTGAGGAGGTTGACAGCCTCTTTGAGAGTTTAACCTTTAAACACCGGACTTCTGATATATTGGTAAGCTTGAGCTGGCCGGAGTTTATTTAAATACCTGCTGCTGGTGCGCGTTTAAATGCCCGTTGCTACTCTGCGTTTAAATGTACGTTTCTGTTAGTGTGCCTAAACAATTTAAGCTTTGTGTTTAAAAATGCTGTATCTAACTCAATTTTTATGATAAATGGACGGAATTAATTTTGTTTGTATCAGCAAAGAACATACTGTCGCATATTATAACGGAAGATTTGAAATTTTTTATACAAGTTATACTCTATTTTCAATATTTTGTCTTTTAATTTTGATGAGTACTGCATAAATGGTTTCTCAGTTCTTCACAGAGTTGTTCTGCATTAAAAATCCATTTCTGTTTGTAACAATTGACAAATTTTAGCAGTCCCTGATGTCATAAAACAGATGGAAGCCATAAAATCATTTGGTCTGCTGCTAGCACTACTTACACTCTTCGGATTTTCGAATCTTTTGACTGAAGGCCAGAAGAATGAAAGAATGGCTATTCAAGGGAAAGCTAGAGGGGCCCCTTCCTCAGTGCTAAGACCTTCCATTATAGCTACAAAAGCTTATTGCCCTTTCTATGGGCCTGAACAGACAGCTGCATCGCGGCTGAGATTCAGAGTGCGGTCTGTTTTCTGTGCGTGCTTAGCAAAATCGAATACTGTAGTTTTATTTCAGCCTATATATACATCAAGCAGATAAAAACAAAAAATGGTATGTACATCTAATTTTACTATATACGTTTAACTAATTATTCTGCAGAATATGCAATAAAAGTAGTGGCTCGTGGATGAGTTTGGGCATAACTCATACGAATACTCTTTTTGTTGTTGTTCAGTTGGGTATCATTTTAATTTTTTCTATAGGGCTTTACTCAAGTCTGTCTGGTAATTACTACATTTAAAAATATTTAGGACTGTGCATACGCTTCTACTAGCGGCAGGTGCGCGCGCTTCCCTTAGCGGAGTTTAAATGCCTGACTGGCCAAAACGGGGTACTTTGGCCACGACGACCTTACTCACCACTGGCACAAACGGGGCACTTCGGCACTTAAAGGTTAAATAGTGGAACACGTGTTGACCGAGAGAAGAAACTGTGTTGCTCACTCAGTGACAACAGTCCCCATATAGAGCACTAGAAAAAGGCAAGTGTGGGGATAAATAGTTGGATCTTCCTCAAGGATGGTAAACCCACCCTTCTCCATCCTCCTCCTTGACAGAATGGGTGGCTAAAAGACATCACTGCTGCCCAGCATGTGTGGAGGACACTGAAAGAGGCTGGTTTTAAGTACCTTCACACCCAAAACCTGAATCAGGATCCCATGGAGAACACATTTGGTGCTATTCGTTTGGACGGTGGTTCTAACAATAACCCAACTGTGGGACAGTTTGTAGATGCCATGAAAACTAGCATCATCAATTGCCTTGCTTTTAGAGGACTGGGGGAAACTAATTGTGAGAATGATGGAGCTACTCTTCCGAATAATCTACTATCACTTTTCAGGGCACCTGAAGCTGCTTCACAAAATCCTTCCACAAGTCATGACAAGGAAACCCCTGCTGGTGTGCCTGAGAGTTTCCATGTTGCTCAACAACTACAGAAGGACATTGGTGCTACAGTAGATGCTGTTGGCATGGAAGTGTTCTCAGTAGCCTATGTCAGTGGTTCCATTGCCAGACAGGTGCTTCATGGTGTCAGCTGTGATGCATGCAAGACATGCCTGACATCCGAAGTGCTGCCATCAGCCAATGTCTTCATATATTTCAAGGAGTGTAGTGATACAGAACAGTCTCTCACATATCCTTCTGAGAAGCTGGTGGAGACTGTTGGTACTGCTGTAACTCTGATGGACTCTATAATGGCAAAGGCTGCCCACTTAAATTCAGTGGAGCAGCATATCACAGCTGCCATCAAGAGCACCATTGACTTCGAGTGGATAAGGTATACTGGCTGTTCACTTAGCCACCAACGAATAGTGGATGGTATTGTGAGATGTCTCACAAGAATTTACATTCCTTTGTGGCGTAAGCGAAGGAACAGGTTGATGACTGAAGCAGCCAGGTAGAGGGCCACAGAGAGGAAGATGAAGATACTGACTCATGAGTAAGTCATTAGGATAGTAATGCTTCTTCATTTTTCCCTTATAATGTCCTGCCCATACCAACCCTGGAAATTGACAGAGAGCAGTTATGGAATTAATGGAAGAGTATGTCTGCCAACTAGTCACATGAGCATCATCAGATGTTTCATAAGTTGGAGAAAGTAACCCTGGTGACAAGCAGTTGCAATGCAGCAACAGAAACTACTGTGCAACGAATGATAACATCATCATCCACAGTTCAGTTACATACAAGAAACCTACTTTGAACTTGAGCTCCATCTCTTTCTCACTTTGCAAACATGTTTCCTTCATCTCAGAATATTAGAACTTCACTGGGTCAGAGTACATTCTGGCCTTTATCTTCATGTAATTAAATTTCAATTGAGAATTGTATGGGAAATTGTTTTCTGACACACATGGGTCTTCTTTATGTGTAGGTAAAAATGAAGAGGAATTACTTTATAATGGACTTGCAAAGTTCAGGTTATCCGCCTCAGTGTGAAACTCTGAGGAGCAGAATCAGTATCAGGATTGAATGTGGGTAGGACTATTTATGTAATATCTTTACCTATTTCATTTTCATTACATTGTTATTCACTTTTGTTGTTATAAGTAATTCTTTCTCTTACTTTTGCCATATAATTGTACCTTTACTGAACTGGTGAACATGAACATAAGATTTTCAATAGTAATTGAATTTCTTTAAGATATATTATGAATTTTTGCTATATAATCGTATCCAATACTAAACTGGGAGATGAATAGATACCAGATTTTCCGTATTCATTACATCGTTTGTAAGATATGTTACTTTTGCCATATAAACCTTTCCATTACTGAACTGGAATATGAATAGATACCAGATTTTCAGTATTCATTACATTTTTTTTAAGATATGTTACTTATTCCATATATAATCCTTTCCATTACGAACTGGAATATGAATAGATACCAAATTTTCAGTAATCATTATTTCTTATTTCTTTAAGATATGTTATTATTTCCGCCATATTATTCTGCCCAGTACTGAACTGGTGAAGATGAATATATCAGATATTCTTATATCATTAAATGCACTCTTAATCTTGTTGACAAGATTGTATTTCACATTCTCAAGTTCCATCATTCTACTGAAATTAATAAGAAATGGGAACATGAGTATTGTTGCTTACAATACATGTTTTATAATGCTTAAATGTTACCGAAAAACTGTGTTCTGCATGGCTTTCAAGTGTAAGTTATGAGGAAATTATGAGGTTTAATATATGTATCTCTGAAGGAAACAGAATTTTCTTTCAAATTTACCCACCATCAGCTTTCGTAAATACGAGTATTCCATGTATGTTACAGTTCACAATGTTCAGTGCCTTTGGTTAAAGAAGTGTTTCGTGTGAAAGAAAGGCTATGACTTTCCAGGCACTGCTGACAGACTTTCTCCAGATAAATAATTTGCAACCTAATCTCTTGTACTCCAGAGCTGCAGAGGCTTGTATTCCGCTGTTACGTTTTTTTTTGGAAAGGGGTGGGGGACCAAGTTTAATAGAACTTCACTCAAATCCAACCGAAAGGATATGGGTGAAGTGATATTAAACTTACTTATGCAGCTGAGCCATTTTTGAGAAGCTCCCAATTTTGTAGCCACTCAAGAATTTTCCAGCCTTTTGTAGAACCTGAAGGTTCATTACTGTGTTCACAAGAGCCCTCCACTGGTCCCTATCGTGAGCCAGATCAATCCAATCCATACATACCATCCTATCTCACTAGGATAAATTTTAATATTGCCCACCCACCTACACCTTGGTCTTCCCAGTAGTCTCTTTCCTTGTGGCTTTCCCACCAATATCCTCTATGCATTCCTCGCCTCCCCCATTCGTGCTACATGTCCTGCCAACCTCATCCTCCACGACTAGTGATTTTTGAACTGTGTTCAGTATCACTAGAAGGAAAGAGACTCTGCAATACAAGAGAGCTGGTTGTGAAAGTATTTATTGCAAGAAGCGAAAAAAAAATTTAAAGTGGGGGCGAGGGGGGACCACTCAAAATAGTTGCTAAGGTAGCATACCTTCGTACCAATTGTGCTCTCGACCTTCGAGGCCATTTTTAAATTTAGTTCATATAAGATGGGAGTAGATGGCAGCAGCATTGCACCAAGGTGTCATGGCGACCATATTGCCAACCCAGTGGCTGCTAGCAACTAACCGTTTGAGCTATGGTGCTGTCCTGCCAGTGTCCTTGAACGGAATCCACGTTTTGGCGCATAATATTAGAGACGAACGTAGGAGTAATGGTATGAGGGGTGAGCCATAAAATTGGTCCTCGCACTGCGACCGTCTATGATCTATTGTGCTTCCCTTTTGGATTAATATTACAGATGTACGTACGTTTCAGTTAGGGTAGGTTTATGCTGGCACGTAAGTATGTTGGTAACCGGTACATTACGCTTTTGCACGACGAAAGCCACATAAGGTAAACTATAATATATAAACCTCAGATTTTACGTATAAGATATACTGCCGAAAATACAGAAAGAATGCTCGTGTTCATCTCTTGACAGCCGCAAAAACTGTGTGTGACGGTGGTGTAAGTTGCCCGTGAAAGTGGAAATGTAAACTCGCCCAACTTAACCAATTAGAAGTCGATGCAAATGAGACGCCCAGACAAGTGGCCCAGAGTGTCGGGAGGAAAAAGAAGTGGGAGCAAGGTACTTTGTTTTGTTTGAGAGTAATTATTTTCCGTAAGTTGTTAAATCATAGGACGTTGTGAAATTTGATTAGGAATGGTTGTCTACGTTATAGAAGTTGGATAGTTGTGAGGAATATCAAAGTTTATATATCATGCAGTTTTGAATGTGGGGATATTGTGTAAAGTGTGGGAGGTTGGAGATTTTTGGGAATGTGAAGGTTAATAAGTATTAGAAATACTTAGATATGTGAGATATGTTGAAACATATAATCTCTGTTGGATACATAGTGATATGATGTACCAGTTAATCTATCCGAGCTGTGCCAGAATGTGGGGTGAGGCGATGCTTCAACTGAAGAGAACGCCTCGGGTGCAGACTGATATTACCTGCTCCTTTAAGTGAAGAATGTAGCTCTACATGATAGCAACAGATAATTGAGCGGTAAGATGGGATCTGTTATATGATACAGGTTACTTGTTATTACAATATATTGGAACGTTGGGACTGCTTGTTGAGTATAGGGAATTTGTAGGTATAGGCACCGAAATGGACAGATGACCAATCTGCTTATCGAAGGGAGCTTGGAGGCAAGTAGAATGTGTGCGTAGTGAGTAGCATGGCCCAATTATTACTAGCCATCTGCTCATCTTTAATAAGTTCCTGTCAAATCTTTAATGGTGTGCACAATGTGTGTTTCAGTGAGTGCAGGAGGGAGGAGTGGATTTGATTCTACGTACGTGGTTTGCGTCTGCTGTTCAGGAGAATCCACGTCCTTCCAGATAACATGGGTCTGAATATCTGAGTTCCATTTATGTGCTGGCACCATGATCTGCAGGTAAGAACGAAATAACTACTTGTGTTGTACGTGACTGGAGACTGAATGTGGTAAATTATGTACGTAGAAAGACAGAAAAGAAAGTACGGTCAAAACCATGTGTTCATCTCTCAGGAAACCAGGGCAGTGTGTGGAAGAGTGGTAATATAACTCCAAGATTACATGCAGTTCCCTACACCTCCAGTGTTACTTACCAGATGTAAACCAGGCCAGTCTTCAGGAATAGTAAGCGCTGTGAAGTATAGAGTTTTATAAGTTTTAGGTCCTTGGGGAATTTTGAAGAGTTGGATCTGTGCAAAATGTTTCTGATAGCATGAGCCTGCAGTATCTTGGTCATTGATATTATGCCCCAGTTGTTATAACCTCAGGTAACTGAATCAGACCCTTCCCTGCCCGAATGCACAGTGATTTGAAGAATGAACACAGTGTGACAAGTTTTGTCTCCACCATGCTGTGTTATGTTATTGTAGGAAAATAAAAGTTATGTTGGTGTGGGCTTCTGTGGAATAGTATTCATACCATGTAAACGAATTTCCCTTGAATCCACTGGTACTAATTGTATGATTAATGTTATTATTTGTGCCCTGTTAGTGAAACATGTAGGTTGTACAGTTGTGTTTCTTGTGTTATCGCACATTTTGGAGGGTGATGACAGTTACCAAGTAGTGTGTAGAGTTTGACTGGATTTCTTTAGACTTGATTGAGTTTGATGCTGGTTATGTACAGTAGATTATTCTAGTGAGAGGAACAAAGTAAGTATTCAGTGGCAGGTTGAGATGTGAGGTTAACTGGAGTATGTTGGACAGATTACCCTCATCTTGATTAATGTTTATGAAGCATGTCATTGAGCATCTTATCCCACAACTGTGCAGAAGTAATGATAATGATGGAATTTAGTTTAATGAAATTAATTTAGACATCAGATATTAATATTGTCCCTTGATATTACTGGAAATGCACTCATAACATTGCCTAGTATTTCCATTCTGTTCTACTAGTGTGAAGATGATATTGCTCTTAAAGATTATGTGTGCTTATATATAACATCTGTGAATGCAGTTGTCCTGAGTTTTTGTTTATAGTAGAGACATGATTGCTGCTTGTTGTGGTCCTAAACCCTGAGTTTTTGTTTATAGTAGAGACATGATTGCTGCTTGTTGTGGTCCTAAACCTTAGCAAAGGCATCATTAAGTGACCGATTGAATGTTAAGAAGCAGTGTTGTGGCAGCAGAATGTGAAGGTTGAAAGTCACGGTCACAGAGATGTTCGTTGGATGTGATTTATAACCAGTTGAATTGAGCTGTGATCCAAATATATGCTTATTGATACCTCGTGTTTTAATGTTATTCAGCCATGAGGTGTTCCATCTTGCAAGGATCCACTTTCCAGGAGGTTTCCCCACAGAAAATTTGGTACGAATGTTAGGTGCCCTGTAATGCTTCCTACTTGTGAGGCTACTGAAATGTCAGAAATCTAATTTGAAATCTTTACCCTTTATTGTATTTTATGTTTTATATTATGTTATATTGTTGAAAATCCATGGTATGGATGAATGAATGAATGTAGAAGGGGTGGGCCTTCTTGGCCGTTGCACCGTGACCACAGTGATCTGTTGTGCTTCCCCTTCTGTTTATCCCTTCAGCAATCCTGCACTTTGAATGTAGCGCAGGATTTTGTATGTGGGGACGTCGAAATAGTCAGTTGGTTCCATAAAATATTGACCCAAGTGACATAATCTTAAATAAGCTAAGGCCTTACATTTGCACAGGATATGTTTGGCTGTTTCATTTTCTTCTTGATACCTCTCACTTAGTCCCAGTTTGAAGAGGTGTCCTTTAAGGTGACAGTGTCCTGTAAGTAGTCCTACCACCCATCGTAGCTGGTTCCTGTTTAACTTCAACAGTTCCTTCGCTCTTTTAATAGAGGGTCCTTGTTTGAGTCCGTTCACTTGCATGAATCCAGTCAAGGATCCCCAGTATTTCTTGTGATTCATATTTGTCCAGTCCCTGATTGCTTTTCTGACAACTCCTATAGAGATGCCACAGGCTGGTTCAGGTCCTATGAACGTATGTTCAGCTCCAGTCTTAGTAAATTGATCATTTCCAGCAATACCCTCATGCCTCAGCACCCATATCAGTTGTACCCTGTTATGTTTGGCCAGTTCCATGAGAGTTTGGTGGCAATTCCAGACCAATTTTGAGTTGATCTGGTGTTTGTCAAGCGCTTTAAGTGCAGCTTGGCTGTCACATAGAATGTAAATGTTCCTATTTCTATAGTTCCTATCTAGATTCTCCATAATACATGCCTTAATGTCATATACTTCTGCCTGGAATACTGTCATGTACTGCTTAAGGCTGAAACTGAGTTTCTGCCTTGTGCCATAGCAGGACACATCAGCCCCAGTGCCCTTACTTATCTTGGAACCATCTGTATACCAGATCAGTCCCCCTTTTCTATCGGGTCGAAACCTGTTTTCCCATTCACTCCTGTCAGGAAATCTGACTGTGAATGGTTTTTCATATACATGTCTCAGTATCATTTTGTCAGACCCCATTTGTAACATGGGTTCTTTTTTCATGTCCTGAGTTATGTATGCATGTCCGAAACTATCGGATTTAGGTTTCCATTGATCACTGCACTTGAGATGGTAGATTCCTGCCCTGGCCTCTGCCTCCAACTATATATGCAGTGGGGGGAGTCCAAGGAGTGTCTCCAGTGTAGCTGTTGGAGATGTTCGAATTGCTCCTGTGATACCCAAGCAAGCGAACCTTTGCAATTTGCTAAGTTCTGCCGTGCTTGTCTTGAGTTTAACTCTGGGCCACGATACTGTGGCTCCTTATGTAATTATGGGGTTTACAACTTCAGCGTATATCCAATGCACAGTGTGCGGCTGCAGTCCCCAAGTTTTACCAACCATGCTTCTGCATGTCCAAACAACCTTATAGGCTTTATTGATGACCTTGTCCAGCTGCTTTTTCCATGTCAGTCCCTTGTCTAATACTAGACGAAGGTACTTGACATCGCTGGAGAGCTGGATCATCTTATTGAAGAGGGTAGGTTCCCTAAGGCACTTTATATTTGTCTTCCTGGTAAAAGGTATAATTACCGTCTTATTAGAATTGATGGAAAGGCTTGTTCTTTCACACCAACGTTGGACCTTGTACAGAGCTGTTTGAAGATGCTCTACTGTCGAAAGGAATATTCCGTTTATGAGGATTGATATGTCATCATATTCAACGACCAGGCTCCACAGCAGAGGCGAGAGCATGCCCCCTGCGGACACCCCCTAGACGCGGGCGCCCCCAGGGTCTCTCCTGATAGTGTTGCAGCTATGGTTCTACTTTTGAGCATAGCACTGATCCACCTGCATATTGCAGACTATGCCATGCTTTCCAACGGCCGGTTTGATTATATCAAAAGCTCCCTCTATGTGAAGGAATGCTTCTAAAGCAATATCCTTTTGTTCAGTCACACTTTCTATGTGTGTTACCGCATTATATAGTGCGCTTTCGGTAGATTTACCTGTTTGATAGGCATGCTGGTTTTGGTATAGAGGATATGTCCTCAACGCCGCAACCTTGATATGCCTATCCACAATTTTCTCCATCGTTTTCAAAAGGAAAGATGACAGGCTGATAGGACGATAAGCCTCAGCCTCGGTGTACTCTAGTTTCCCGGGCTTTGGGATAAATGTCAACTTGCCTCCAGGCCATGGGGATAAATCCATATGCCATGCAAGCTATATATACCCGGCATAGGTGTGGAACTAATAGTTCTGCCCCTTGCTGCAAAAGTGCTGAACAATTCCATTTGTTCCTGCTGATTTAAACGGTTTAAAGGTATTCAGTGCCCATCTGATTTTTGATTAGTTAATTATGACTTTGGCCAGGTTCCAATCTACCCTGTTCGTCTTGCTTTGGCAAGTGCCCAGGTTTTGCTGACCCTGTCCATCGCCCAAATTATCAGTCAATTTTGAATCAGAATAGTGAACCGTTAATATTTTATTCAGTGTCTCCCTTCCTGTTTGAGTATACCGCCCGTTAGGCAGCTTAATCGTGCTGACCTTGTTGGTCGCCTGGTTTGCTATGATTCTCATGAGTCTGACACCGCCTGGTACATCATTGATCTTCTGGCAATGCCTCCTCCATAAGAAGAGGGTAAAAAAAAGAAAACGAGATCGCTTGGCTTTCCTTATTTTTTGTTGTAACGGTTAAGGGCTTCCTTGCAGGTGTCCCACTGCCCTGTTCTTTTAGCTGTATTAAACAGCCTTATAGTTTTGGTTCTAAGCCCACAATTATTGTGGGATGGATACATTTCATATAAAGTATATGTATATGCTTCACATATGTCGAAAAACACAATAAAGTTAATAATGGAAACATTCAAAAAGAGAATATTTAGGTAACTATCGGAAATTGTAAGAGTCAATCAAGATAACTGTGATATCGTGCACTTGAGAGCGTTCTGAAATGTCAGTATTTCGGAAAAATACATATACGAACATTACTGATATCGCAATATATTCCAGGTTTCGTGAATTACGTAGATAGTTTAACAGAAAAATACAGTGGAACCTCACTTAACGAGCATAATTCGTTCCAGAATCTTACTCGTAATGCGAAACACTCGTTAAGCGAAACTTTTTTTTTTTCATTTAAATTAATGAAAAATATGATAATGAGTTCCATGCCGGAAAAAATACGCAAAAAAATTATGTATGACGTTTATTCGAAGAGAATTATATATACATTGTTAAGGAGCTTGAATCACCTCCAGCTTTTCTTCTATGCGGAATGAACCAACCTGGAATGCGAATTCGATTTGCAGAAAAAATAGAAATAATTAGTTTATTATTTATGATACATATCTAAGTCTTTTTTTTACTAGAAAGCTGTCTAAGAGACATTTGTTTTTGCCGACGCTTCAAAATTTGGTGAAAATGCGACACAGCATTATCTTAAAATAAATTTGTAGCGCGCATAGCCACTGCCTTATTAGGGTGATGCTTCTCAGTGTACGATGCAACAGTTTCCCATGCTCTGAGCATTTCTCTTATTGCACCAGAAGATTGTTGCTTTGCTGTTACCTCCTCCTCCTACTCTGACAAACTCTTCACAACGTCTTGCTGTGAAACACACTGCAACTCCACATCGTGCATATCGTTGATGTAGACCGATTGTACTCTGATGTGCGTGCTAGATCAGCCACTCTCACAGCTCGTTCTCGCTTTTCAATGATTTTACGTTTCATTTCTACGGCTAATTTTTATTCTCTTATGGCTGTCTTTTTGCGGCTTTTTCTTACGGGACATTTTTGCAAGGGTTATTAAACTTTGCACAAAAAAAGATTACAAATACGTCTGAACACAGTTTGAAAAATGGGTGATCACAAAGCGACACTACGATGTTAGCGGAACGAGTGCTAAACACAGACTAATATAGCAAGCGCACAATCCGGGACTTCCCCTCTCGTCACTCGTTATGCGAGTCATTTTTTACAATTTGTTTTACTCGTTATGCGAATTACTCGTCATGAGAGTTGCTCGTTAAGCGAGGTTCCATTGTATATGCAGCAGTTTATCATGTAAGAAAATTCGGAAATAAAATATCCCATGTAAATATATAATGATTTGAAACGGTATCAGAGACCTTCAATGGTAAGATATTGCCGACAGCCAAACCTTTCTCAAAAGAGCATAACGATGCGCAATATTCAGTTGCGCAAACCTATCATAATCTACCCTCACAACCTAACATCAGCGTAACTTACGGAGCTTCTCCCCTTCGAAGGTACAGATGGATGCGCAGTAGTCTACTGCGCTAACCTAACCTAACTTATCCTAAATCAACGAATGGTAGCCAAGGGCCAGAACCATGAGTTACAGGTGGATGCACAGTAGTCCATTGCGCACACCTTTCATACATATCTTGTGCATCTTGGATGAAGAATACATGCTTATAACAGGGTGGTATGCGAAGTGAAACACGTCATTGGTGTTATGCTAGGAATGCTGTACAATGACATTGTGTAAACTGTGCGTAGTGGTGGGTAGAATATGTTATAGCATGAAGACTGATGGCAAGTGATTTCTAAGTTAGAAGTGTATTTCTTTGTGATAGGCAACGGATTACACGTTTGGCATCTAATTTTCCAGGCTTAAATGTGTGAGCAGGTAATATACAACATCAGGGAATTATTTTCTTTCCATCTATTAAATTGCTTACAGTATCACATTGTGCGCAGGAAAACACGATGTCTTACAGATAACATTCTTGTAATTGTATTTTATAGTCTAGTCTAGAGCATATATAGTGATAGTTCGTTTTTTGTTTTAATGCTTAGAAGAAGGTTGAATGATATTTTCTTAGGTTCAGATCGTAATTAGTGGTTTCCCTATCTAATATTTGAGCACTAGTATTGTGGGGTGGATACCTTCCATGTACAGTATATGTATGTCCTTGACATGTCGAAAACCATAATAAAGTTAATAATGGGAAGATTCGAAAAGAGAAAATTTGCGGAACTTGTGGAAATTGTAAGAGTAAATCAAGATAATTGTGATATCATGCACTTGAGAGCGTTTATTTATGAAAAAATGCAATTACGTCCACTACAAATATCGTAGTGTATTCCAGGTTTCATAGATTATGTAGATAGTTTAACAGAAAAATAAACGCAAAGAGTTTATCACGTGAGAAAATTCGGAAATAAAATGTCCCGTATAAATATATAATGATTTAGTAGGCTATCAGAGGCATTGAATCGTAAGATATTGCCGCCGGCCAAACCGTGCTTAACTGAGCATAACGATGCGCAGAAGTCGTTTGCGCACACCTATCATAATGTACAATCACAACCTAACATTAGCATAAATTACCGAACTTGGCCCCCTCCAAGGTATAGATGGATGCGCAGTAGTCTACTGCGCAAACCTAATCTGACCAACCTAACCTAACCTAACCTAACGTAACATCAAACACCTAAGGGCCAGTCCCCTGGTTTACAGGTTGGTGCGCAGTAGTTCATTGCGCAGACCTAAGGGTGACGTCATTTACGAAGTTGCTATTTAACCGAACGTAATATAGGGCTGTCGTTACGTGGAATATAAGTCGAAATATGACGTTATGTATAAAATTGAGCGCCTTCACTGTTTTTGCACCCATAATATAAACTTATGTTGTTATATTCCAAGGTTATATTTCTACGTGATAGCTTAGATTGTGTCGAGAACGCCGCTCCCACCTCAAGAGTTTGCGAATCCCCCACGGTAATACAAATGATTACCGAATATCACATTATGGCATTATGCTGCCCTCCAATGGCATAACGTTATGACGAAAAATCTTTGTTGTCATTGAAATGGTTCCCTTCGTTCACGTGTATGGATACGCGACAAATTGAATGGCGGCTGGGCATTTTTTCGCCCGAATTTCCCATCCTGGATAGGAAGTAGAATAATATCATACACGAAAATGGGTAAAAATAGGGTGAAAAATTACCTTCCTGTAATCGGACTGATATAATCGAATGTTTCTGTTTCAGTCATGTTAAGAGGTTGGCTGCCCTGCCACTGTGACGTAAATATCCGGTGAGCACCATCAAGGTATGTTTCTTTCCTGGTATGAAGAGGTATTTATAAATAATAAGACGGTGTTATGTGTATATTTATATAGATATATGAACAAGTTGTGATTAATTATCAGCTTGAAAGTACGAGTATATGTTAAAATATTCAGTGAGATAGTGC